ACTTCTCAGAGGACTAGTGAAGTATGGAGGAGGGAATGCAAGGCTCAAGGCTCGATCTGCCCTACTGGGCCCTATTTTCTGCACGGTAGGCCGCCCTAAGTGAAGGCAGGCTCGACCCAGGGCCTACAGGCCTGTTTTGGGGTCACCAAGCAACTGGGTAAATTCAGGCAGTTGTGCAGCGCCAGTTGGTTGGAAGCGCCCCGGCCCAGGCTGCCTTTTTCACATGTAACTGAGGCATGCCCTGGGCCGGATACACAACAAGGACCGAACACAGACTGAGGGCAGTTGGGCGCTGGTAACCACCTCAGGCTGTGGGCCTGATCTGTCTGGACTGAGGCTCAGCCTCCCGGGGCCTACCGGAAGCTTCCGGGCCGGGGCCCAGTACCACATACCACACACAGCAGTAGGCCACTTCGATATAGGAAAGGGCCTGCCTCGACATTCGGCATTCGGGCACTGGCTGCATGCTGCACAAACGCTGGCCAGCACTCACACGCTCACGGGCGAGCTGGAAGGAGCAGGCAGCCATAGCCGAGCTGCACTGCTGTATGCTGGATGGGGCACATGGTGGTCTTTGGGTGCATGTGGCATCTGTGAGTTGGGGATCGAGGTTGTGAGTGATACGAGAGACATACCTGGTGCTTGAGGCAAATGGCATTGGCCGAGATCTGCTCGTACTTCGGGGAGCTGTTGACGTCATCAGCGCATTGTAGATAGGCTAGATAGGATCTGCCATCTATAGTCTGGGCGCCGAGCGCCAGATAGGATATCGACATTGGTTCTTCGTTGATGATGATGAGACTATTCCAGCATTGTCAATTATGAGCTTTTGTTGTGCTCTTATTTGGTGGAACTCATGATGCAATTCTGCTATTGGTTCGAGGTCACAACTATCTGGTCTCATGTGTATGATGCTGTTTGATTTCTGAAGTTCGCTATCGCTCATTTTCCTTGCATTTTCTTTTCTTTTCTCGTTTTTCTTTTCTTAGGAATACGGCTGTGGCCCTAAGGGCCTCTACTCACCAAATGCACAAAAGACAAAACATATGGTGGCGTATTATTCCACTTCTGCAGAAGATTCATTCTAATTTTGCACATTTCGTGAGTTGTGCAGCCAAGCCCTAAGAGTCACGTGCAGAGACCAACAGGGCCTAGCTACGCGAGCAACCCATAACTGCTGAAACACAGACCTGAATTCGAATCTTGAGTATATATTCGGGCAGCTTGTGTTCTACTTCATATTCACTGCCTGCCTCGATTTTGGTGGGGGTTCTGCGCTAGATGGCTGCGAGGACCCTTCAGATAGCCTGCATGGGCCGTCTGAGCTGTGTTAAGGGGATCCGTTCTCTCTCTCTCTCTCTCTCTCTCTCTCTCTC